GGCCCTTATTCTTCCAAAGCTTCTCACTCTCCAGCCTTTTCTCTCAAGCTTCTTGGGCAGTTGATTGTGTGCTCAGCTGTCATCCATTACTTCAGGCAGCAATGACAAACACATTTACCTATAAATATTGTGGAAAAATGTTCCCTGGTTAATGGCTTCAGCATTGGGACAAGGTGAAGACAAGCCTTTTGAGTTGGTTTTCTGAAAGCCACCAGACAAATAAGACCAAATATTTATTTATTTATAGTAATCGTTACTACTTTATAAAAATGAGGTCTCTTCTCCCTCAGAACTGGTTCTAGGAATGTTGGCTGTTATTTTCAAGGATATCCCTGAGCTGAGGAGCAGGGGATGGGCCTAGGGTAAGTCAAAATGCCAGAAAGTTTGCTGTTCTTAGAGATTCAGCCTATTTTCTTTTTCTTTTTTTCTTTTTTGAGACAGAGTCTCGTTCTGTTGCCTAGGCTGGAGTGCAGTGGCGTGATCTCAGCTCACTGCAACCTCCGTCTCCCGGGTTCAAGTGATTCTCCTGCTTCGGTCTCCTGAGTAGTTGGGACTACAGGTGCCCACCACCACGCCTGGCTAAGTTTTTGTATATTTAGTAGAGATGAGGTTTTACCGCATTGGCCAGGATGGTCTCGAACTCCTGACCTCATGATCCACCTGCCTCGGCCTCCCAAAGTGTTGGAATTACAGGTATGAGCCACCGTGCCCGGCTGAGATTCAGCCTATTTTCTTAAGTAAGTGCTCCTGGGTTGCCGTAAGCTTTTGGTTAGTTTCCAGAGTTCTGAAAGAGTTAATACTGAGAGTTTTGTTAGGTTTTTCATAGTTTATGTGGAGCAGTGAACTTTTGGAGATCCCCCGCAACAAAGAATCAGTTTTTGGTTTCATTGGTTTTTCTTTATTGCTTTTCTCTATTTCTATTTCATTGTTTTTCTCTTTTTTAGAAAATGTCATTGAGTTATTACTCTTTTGTTTATTTTTTTTTTCCTTATTCTTGCTCTCAGGTTTAATATATTTTTTTCTAGCTTCTTCTTTTTTTTTTTTTTTTTTGAGATGGAGTCTCGCTCTGTCGCCCAGGCTGGAGTGCAGTGGCCAGATCTCAGCTCACTGCAAGCTCTGCCTCCCAGGTTCACGCCGTTCTCCTGCCTCAGCCTCCCATGTAGCTGGGACTACAGGCGCCCGCCACCGTGCCTGGCTAATTTTTGTATTTTTTTTTTAGTAGAGACGGGGTTTCACCGTGTTAGCCAGGATGGTCTCGATCTCCTGACCTTGTGATCCGCCTGTCTTGGCCTCCTAAAGTGCTGGGATTACAGGCTTGAGCCACCGCGCCCGGCCTCTAGCTTCTTAAAGTAGAAGCTTAGTTCATGACCCTTCTTCTTGTTTACTATAAGCGATCAAGGTTATACATTTCCCTCTAAGCACTGCATTAGCTGTGTCCCACACGTTATGACATGCTTCCATTTTCATTCAATTCCAAATATGTTTAAAAGTCTTTTGTCATTTATTTTTGATCCAGGAGTCCTTAGAATTGTATTTACTTTCCAAATATTTATGAATTTTATGGGTAACTTTCTATTATGAACTTCTAGTTTAATTCCCTGAGGTCACAGAGCAAATCCAATTTATATTGGTTTTAAAGAATTGGTTAACATTTACTTATTTATTTACTGAGATGGAGTTTCATTCTTGTTGCCCAGGCTGTAGTGCAATGGTACAATCTCAGCTCACTGCAACCTCCGCCTCCCAGGTTCAAGTGATTCTCCTGCCTCAACCTCCTGAGTAGCTGGGATTACAGGCATGTGCCACCATGCCCGGCTAATTTTGTGTTTTTAGTGCAGACAGGGTTTTGCCATGTTGGTCAGACTGGTCTCGAACTCCCAACCTCAGGTGATCCGCCCACCTCGGCCTTCCAAAGTGCTGGGATTACATGCATGAGCCACTGTGCCCATCCTGTTAGCATTTATTTTATAGCCCAGGATATGGTCTGACTTGTTGAATGTTTTCCGTACACTTGAAACAAACATTTTCTGCTACTATTGAGTGGAGTGTTCTATAAATGTCTATTAGGTAGAGTTGGTTGATAGAGCAGTTCAGGTTTTCTGTATCCTTATTCATTTATTTGTTTACATATTTAGTCAATTACTGAGAGAGGAGTGCTGAAATCTTTTTTGTTTTTTTGAGACAGAATCTCGCTCTGTCGCCCATGCTAGAGTGCAGTTGCATGATCTTGGCTCACTGCAACCTCTGCCTCCCTGGTTCAAGTGATTCTTGTGCTTCAACCTCCCAGGCGACTGGGATTACAGATATGTGCCACCACACCCGGCTAATTTTTGTATTTTTAGTAGAGATGAGGTTTTGCCATGTTGGCCAGGCTGGTCTTGAACTCCTGGCCTCAAGTGATCTGTCCACTTCAGCCTTCTAAAGTGCTACAGCCTTCTAAAGTGCTAGGATTACAGGCATGTGCCACCATGTCCGGCCTGAGTGTTGAAATCTTAACTATAATTGTGGATTTATCTATTTCTTCTTTTAGTTCTAATGGTTTTTGCTTTTTACATTTTTAGTTTTGTTATTAGGTATATACACATTTAGAATTGCTCTGTCTTCTTTATGAATTGAATTCTTTAAGTTTTGTCCTCATTTATTCCTGATCATATTTCTTTGTCTTAAGTCTTTCTGGTAGTGTTTTTGTGGCACACATTTTTCCACTTTTTAAATTTTTAATCAATGGTACCTTGTAAATCAAAGAAACTCAGAGATCATGGAGAGGAAGCTGCTAAGGATGATCTCAAGTACCTAACTAATGTAATTAAATGGAGAGTAAAACCAGTCATGGAGATAGAAATAGGTGTATGAGGGGAAAAAATGTTGAGCTTTTGATTTGTTCTGTTTCCAGTCGTAGATATATAATAAAGATGTAAGTAAAGTGAGTCAAGTCGTGGAAGAGAGGTATGCTGGGAGATAGACATTTGCAAGTCAGTGGGAATAAAGAACAAAGGATCAAAGGCAAAATCTTGAGAATATTGAAAGTTCCTGGAAGGAAGAGAAATCAGCAAAGGAGACTGAAAAAAGAGTGAGTTATCTGAGTATAAAAGAGAAAAGAGAAATAATGCTGACTCATGTGCTAAGAACACAGAAAAGTTTTAAAAAGGTAGAAATGGTCAGAGACTTTCAAAATCCAGAAATATTGGGCAAATTGAGGTCAATGGAAACGATTTTCAGAGCGGTTTCAGAGTAGCAATAAAGAGGTGAAACCAGATTGAATTGGACATGGGAATAAATGGGTGATGATGCAATATTGATGTAGATTACTTTAAAATCAACTTAAACAACTTTGACAGTGAGTGGAAGGAGAAAGAAAGGAAGAGAAGAAGGCAAAATGAATAATGCCCTTTACTCCCTTCTCACCTGGCTAACTCCCATCTCTCTTCCAACATTCAGTCTTCTATCAGAAAGCTTTAGGCGATCTTTCATTCTGAATTGGTGTGATCTGTAGCACTCCATATATACATTCACCATGGTACTTATCACAATGTATGTCTTTACTTTTCCTACTAGATGGTACTTGAGAACAGGCACTATCTACTTTTTTTTTTTTTTTTTGAGAGAAGTCTTGCTCTTCTCCCCCAGGCTGGAGTGCAATGGTGGGATCTCGGCTCACCGCAACTCGCTCCCGGGTTCAAACGATTCTCCTGCCTCAGCCTCCCAAGTAGCTGGGATTACAGGTGCCTGCCACCACGCATGGCTGATTTTTTGTATTTTTAGTGGAGAGGGGGTTTCACCATATTGGCCAGGTTGGTCTCAAACTCCCGTCCTCAGGTGATCAGCCTGCTTCGGCCTCCCAAAGTGTTGGAATTACAGGCATGAGCCACCGTGCCCGGTTGGAGAACAGGGACTATCTTTGTAACTCCAATGCCAAATTGGCATCATGTGGGGCACATAGTAGGTGGTGAATTCAGGTTTAATGAATGACTAATAGACTGACTTAGATATATGTAGGTTGAAAAGAAGGAGCCAGTGGTGAGAAAGAGATTAAACATACAGAAAAGAGATTTGGAATGTCATTGAAACAGTCTTAAGGTCGGCCAAAGAGGATGGGATTCAGATCACAGGTGCAGTCATTGGTTGTAAAAATGAGCAAGTGATATGTGCACATCTCAGACTGGCATGGAAATATGAGAAGATGAAGGAATTGGTACTAACGGTTATAGCTGCTTCTTCCTCTTCTTTTTTCCTTGTAAAGAAGGGTGGTGGTGCAGAGAGTAGGGAGGCAAAAGGAAGAGGAACAGAGTCTTTAGGATAAAGGCAAAGACTTGAAATGAATATTTTGGGGAATGAAAAAGAACCCCAATCACAAAAAGATAAAGGAATTGCCAAGCGTTGATAACAACCTCAGCTGAAATTGGAAACTGTAGCGAGTGGCTTGGAGAGTTCTAGTGACATACATATTTTTTTCTTTCTTTTAGCCAGAGGCAAACTCCAGATTTTCGAACCTGAGGGGATTTTAAAAAGATTGATGCTGGCTTGGGAGCTTTTTGGGTTGGGAGCTTGCCGTGTATGTGTGTTACAGAAAGGCGCTCAAGGGAAGGAAATTCGTCTTAGAAAGAAGTAAGGAATATGTCTCAGAGAATGAGATGTTGCTGTGGGTATATAAAAAGATAGACCGTGAATAGGTAAGGAAAGAAGGTGCTAGGCTATGGTATCTCTCCATCCCTTCACCACTCCACGTAAGTTTGTACTACGGCGGGGCGGAGGCAGGGAGGATCACACTCTCCCGGTGCGGCGTGGCTATACCAACTCTCACAAAATCTAGAAGGTGACGGAGCTAGCGTACAAGAAGTCGTCTTTAGTGGAGAGGCCTGAGGTCTCCGCAGTGACGGGGATGGCAGCGTGACCCCTTAATCTTCAACTACAGGCCAGTCCCAGTTGCCCCAAAGGGGTTAGAATCTAAGGTGGTAGTCTCCCCTCCCCCTAGAAGCGGGAGACGGCCTGGCCCGGAAGCTTCTTTGCTGACCCGGAAGCAGAGCTGTGCCGCTAAGGCGCCGCCGTGGAGCCGCCTTGGAGCCACCGCCCCCTCGCCGCTTCGCCGCTGCGTTGGGGAACCGGGACCGCGGCGGCGCCGGGTTGCCCTGATGATCCCGGGCGGGCGGTGGCGGCGGCAGAGGCGGCGGGAGGATGACCTCTTACCGGGAGCGGAGTGCCGATCTGGCCCGTTTCTACACTGTTACCGAGCCCCAGCGACACCCGAGGGGCTACACAGTATATAAGGTCACCGCCCGGGTGAGTGCGGGTGTCGGGCTGGGATAGGAGCTTGGATTGGGTCCTGAGGATCTGGGGTGGAGACCCTGGTGTGAGGGTACCTGACTCTGGCTCAGAGCCGAGGGTGGGACTGGGTGCTGCGCCTACTGGCGGGACTTGCGTGTCGGAGGTTGAGATTTCTGAAGTAGTGGCTGAGTGTGGTATGCCCAGGGCTTCACGGTAGTAGGTCGTGGTAGAGTCTTCTTTCTGGGGGTGGGGTAGTCAGTGGTTGATGGTTTTAAATTGATGACTCAGTTCCCATCCCGTTTGGACTTTCTCTTCTGAGTTTGCAATTTGCAGAAGTGGTTTTGCTTGCTCCAGGAAGATAATGCAGATTTAAAAGTGTTAATTTATGTGTTCTTTGGCTTATGTAATATAAGTTGTTTTTTCTCTTGACCTTTATCAGGTTTGCTGTGAGGTAGACAGACTCTTGGGACAGATGTCAGTGTTAGGCCACCAACCTAGGAGCTGTGGATCCGAGCTTTGTCAAACCCTTAACTTTTTCACGTTTTTCAGTAGGAGACGTGAAAAAGATCTGCTGAGGGTGGCTTGTGTGAGCTACCATGAGGTCACATTTTAAAGTTGGGAGGCTCCTTTACATCGACTAACTGGTCCAATTTTTAGTAATCACTTTATGTTTCATTGCTTTTGCCTTGAGTTTTAAAGAGAGTCTGCATCTTCTAGGAAAGTAAGAATAAATTAAAATTAAATAAGTATATATGTATGTGACGTATGTGGGCATGAATATGTGTATAGTAGGCATTTTGTACACATCACCCAATTTAATTCTCATTTTAATGATGAGGAAACAGATTAAAGGAAGTTTAGTAACTTACCCAACTTTACATTGCAAGGCAGTAGCAGATCTGCCTGGGATCCGGAACCAGTTTTGCCTGACTCCAAGTTATATAAAATGTTAAGAATTAACTTTATCATTATCAATTTTTAAAGAGGAGAGATACAGATTAAGTAATAATAGTTCAATATACATTTGGAGGATGTAAAGTAGGCCTTCAGAAGAATCTTTTTTTTTTTTGAGACAGAGTTTTGTTCTTGTTGCCCAGGCTGGAGTGCAATGGCTTGACCTTGGCTCACTACAACCTCTGCTTCCCGGGTTCAAATGATTCTCCTGCCTCAGCCTCCCGAGTCGCTGGGATTACAGGCATGTGCCACCATGCCCGGCTAATTTTTTGTATTTTTAGTAGAGACCTCGTTTCTCCATTTTGCTCGGGCTAATCTCGAACTCCTGACCTCAGGCCATCTGCCCGCCATGGCCTCTCAAAGTGTTCATGCTGGTGGCGTGAGCCGCTGCTCCCAGTCTGAGAAGAATCTTAAAGGTTAAATAGATTTAGATCAGTTTGGGGCATGGGAGTGGCACGTGGTGTGTGGAAATGGTGCACAGTTCAGATAAATGTGAGAAGGAGGTATGGATGAACATGTCTGTATAAGGATAATGAGAAGATCCTACCTGCTGTTGCCAATTGCTGTAAGGAGAATAGAGGGAAGTTTGTTGCTCCCTTTTTGCACAGAAGGTTGTTATATGGGTGGAATGTTAGTTTCAAGTTGTGTAAGAAATTTTGTGAGATTGAGGGGCCCTTTTTATACCACTCTTGAAACCTTTCTAGTCATTGGGCCCTTTGAAATTCCAGACTTAGTTTCCTAACACATAGTGTATGAAATCAGAACAGTTTTCAATATATGTAATGTTTCTCTCACAGCATCCTACTTATCCCTTAATTTAACAAGAAAGTTATATTGTATTTAGTTGCATGTCTATGTCTCTTAGTGGATTTAGAGCAGTTCTCTATCATTGACATTTGTTTCTGCTTATATCGAATAATAGATAAAAGAAGATGCATGTGCATGGCACATAGTGCCTGAAAAACATTGTTGAATGTTTTCCTCTTCATTGTACGCAGCATACCCAATAAATGTTTAGATCCACACACTAAATACTGTGAGGGACATAAGGCTGAATAAAGCATGGATCTTTCTTTCAAGGATACACGTAGTAGAAGAGAGTTTAGTATACTTAAAGAAATGTGATAAAACACAGGAAGTTCCAGCAGACACTACAGAAAAGGGCTGTGGGGAGACAGATTGCTTCTGGATCAAGAGATTGGGGAATATGTACCAATCAAGATAGTTGAAAGGGGAGAAGAATCCAGAAAAGGAGAGGGTGTGAAAGGTAGACAGTTGAAAGGGCAGAGTCCATAAAGACCTGGAGGTGTGAATGTGTGTGGAACTTGAATTGGAAGCACTGAGTATAATTATTTGTATTGTTACTTTACAAAAGGAAAGGTTAACCAAATGCAGATTTTTTTTCCCCCAAGGTGTAGTCTCGCTCTTTTGCCCAGGCTGGAGTGTAGTGGCATGATCTCGGCTTACTGTAACCCCGCCTCCTGGGTTCAAACAATTCTCCTGTCTCAGCCACTCAAGTAGCTGGGGTTACAGGCGCCCGCCACCATACCCGGCTAATTTTTCTATTTTTTGTAGAGACAAGGGTTCGCCATGTGGGCCAGTCCGGTCTCGAACTCCTGACCTCGGGTGATCCACCCGCCCCAGCCTCCCAAAGTGCTGGGATGACAGGTGTGAGCCACCGCCCCAGCCAAATTCAGATCTTAAATATCTGAAGGTGTGACCTATTTACTGAACTAAGTTTTGACAATATAAACTAGAAGATAAAGTAGCACATTGCCTTAGAACTAACCAAATTTATATATATGCGTATTACATATTGCTGTGGTTATTTGAACTTGAAAATTGCACACACTGCCTTTTTTCTTCCCGTATATGTTTATGTCTTCATTTATTGCTTATGTTACCCATTTTGTTTTTAAAATGTAACGTCTGAGAGTCAACATGGAGGCATACTTTCAAAATAACTGTGCTTAGTATTATAAAATATTTCTTGAGAGTTAAGGAGAAAAACACCTTTTTTCAGGATAATTAACTAGGTAAATAGTGCTCTCCTGAGAGAACTTCATGAGATAAAAATTAAGAATGGCTTCTGTGTATTTTCTACTACTGGTTTACTTCTAGCTTCAAGGAACAATTTTCTATATTTTTAATCCTTGCAGGGTTATTTCTGTAGGAGTAGAGTTTTAATCATTGGAAGTACCAGTGTTAAATTTTGGATAGCAAAAGAGCTTTTTCATCTTCTTAAATCTCCTGTGTGCTTTTTTGCAGTTCTCTGAAACCTGGCAAGCTTAGATGATTTTGAGGCCAGTTACAGGCATACTAACAGATTCCACAGTTAAACTCTGTATTATTTTTTAATTTTTATCTAGAATAAGTACCTCTATTCAGAATTGGAAAGTTCTTTCATAAGTTCCCTTTGATTCTTTAGTTGAAGGAGACACAAGTATACGAGAACCATCAGCAGTGTTTTCAGTTATTTCATGCTAAGTGTACAAAATTCTCTTATTGTAGTATAGATTTCTCAGCAACAGTAGGTGAATGGCAGTTCTTGCCTGTATTCATTTCGTGAGTATAAAAATTATGTTTTTATTCTCAAAAGACAGTGCTGCAGTATAACTTATTTTGTTTACATTGAGTCATAATTTACATACAGTAAAATTCACCCATTTTAAGTGTCCAATTTGATGAGTTTTGACAAATGTATACAGTTGTGTAACTACACCGTGTTCATCACTGCACAAGTTTCCTCATGTTCCTTTACAGTCACTCACTCCCCCTCATCCCATATCTCTAGGCAACCACTGGTTTGCTTTCAGTCATTGTAGATTGGGCTGCATTTTCTAGAATTTTGTATACAAGGAATCATACAGTATGCACTTTTTTTTTTTTGGTCTGGCTTATTCCACTCAGTATGATTATTTGAGATTTATCCATGTTGTTTTGTGTTTCATTCCATTTTATTGCTGACTCATATTCCATTGTGTGGTTATACTACATTTTATCTGTTCACCTGTTGGATATTTGGGTTGTTTCCAGTTTTTGGATATTATGAATACAGCTATTATGAACATTCATATACAAGTCTTTGTATGGACATACGGTTTTATTTCTCATGATACCACATGCCTTTGTTTATGTAGCTTTATACTAAGCTTTGAAATCAGGTACTCTAAGTACTCTAACTTTCTTTCTCAAAATTGTTTTGGCTATTCTCGATTGTTTGCATTTGTGTATAAAATTTAGAATCAGCTTGTCTGGTTTCTCCAAAAATACCTGTCCAGATTTTTGATTGGGATTATATTGAGAATGTAGATCAATTTCAGAAGAATTGATGTCTTAACAGTATTGTCTCTGAGCCATGAACATATATATCTCCCCTTTTATTTAGCTCTTCAGCATGAGCAGTGCTTTGTAATTCTGAGTACAGTCTTGCACATATTTATTTTTGTTTATTGATCTTTTTCAGAGATGGAGGTTTCACTGTATTGCCCAAGCTCGAGTGCAGTGACGCAATCATAGCTTACTGCTGGTGGAACTCTTGGGCTCGAGTGTTACTCCCTCCTCATTCTGCCACCTGGGATTGTGGGCACAAGCTACCTCATTGGCTTTGCACATATTTAAAGTAGTTTGAGTTTATTTTGAAACCAGGAGAATGTATAAATCCTCATTTTATTATACATAGCTAGTGTTTGTTGAGTAATAGCAGTAGACACTTACATGGCGCTTACTGAGTCAAGCAGTTTATATTAAATTAAGACGTTTGTCACAGGGGCCCAGTGAGTAGTTGCCGTTATCATTTCCACATTTTCAGTGAGGAAGTTGAGGCACAGAGACATTTAGTAACTTGTCCAGGGTCATCTAGCCAGCAAGTGGTAGAGTCTACATTTGAACCCAGGTAGACTGGTCCCAATCACAGTGCTTTTAATCCTAATGCAATGCTGCCGAATACCTGTATTATAAAACACTTTTCATTAGGTGCTGTGAGTGTGCATATGGGGACACCTATGTGTCCCCACAAGGGCATTACTATAGTTTGGCAAAAGTGATGGATACACATGAAT